GAAGATTCTGCTCTATATGTGGTACCTGTCGTGCTGCTCATATCAATACAAATCCGGTGATAAAGTTTAATTCGGTTGGTCACATTCGAGGAACGAATTTAAGATTAAACCTACGATTTTGTTTTGTGTTTCAAGCTCTTGATCTGAATAAACCTTCAATGTGGACGTTGAAAATCAGGAAACTGTTATGTTGGAGGTGTATAAATAAATATGGAGATTAAAAAAAAAATTACGGAACTGAAAAAGTTGCTAAAATGGTCTACAGTCAACTTGAAAAACGAAAAGATCACTCTGTTTTCTATAAAATTCATACCTTCCCAATGTACTTATACCGAAATCATAAGTGCTAGGTCTCAGATTGAAACAACCAAATTCTTATAATGCAATGCATAAAACGAGTTCTGAAATCTGTCCGAGGACACATCAGTACCTATATTAGACGCGAAAACCAATATTCTAGTGTTCAAGTTACACTAAATAGCACACACTCCTTAAATCTAACTGTAGATGTAAACTCATCAAAGATACCAGGATTCGGTTTCATAAAAAAACTTACGATTAGGATTGATCGTAAGTCATGAAGAATTCAATATACTTACGATCAATCTTAGACTTCAGGCTTATAATTTTGTACGCCAACGCGCGTTTTGTTTACCAAAAACTAATTAGTGACGCTAGAATAAAAAAAAGTTAAAGAGCATTGTAGAAAAGAAAAAAAGAGTTACAAAAATAAGTTATAACAACAAGATAGTGGACAACACAAAGCAAGAAAGAAATCAAAGTGTCTCGAGATCTGGTGATAATTTGGATGCATTTGACCATCTCCCGTTTTGTAACTGGAACAACTAAGAATTCCAATATATGAGCATAAACAGCGCCATGACCGCATAGTACGCCCGTCGCCCTTTTAGCTCGTCCTTAAGCTTTAAATGAATTTATATGTTCAACTAGAAATTCTGTGAGCACTGCTCAAAAAGACTGCCCCCCCCCCCCCCAAAAAAAAACTCACTGACACAAATGATGAAAAATGAACAGTTTTCGACGATTTTTCAACGAATACAGTTCTGTAACTCCGCAATGTCATATCAGAAATTACCAAAAGGGAGCTTATTTCAATAGAAATGAACAAGTAATCAAAGTTTCATGAAAACTGCTCTAAGCGTTTTTGAGTTATTGTCCGAGAACTGGAAAATCGACCCTGTTGTATGCATAAAGTCCCAATACTCCGAAACGTAAAATAATATATTTTTTTTAAAATCTGAAGGAAACGAATGTCAATATATATAAACAATTCACCAAAGCATTTTTGAGTTATAGTCAGAAAACTGGAAAATCACCAATTTTTTTATGAATGAAATCTTATAACTCGGAAATAATAAGACAATAACCAGTTCTTTGATATAGATTTAAAAAAGATAATTTGATTGATAACCCTTCATGTGTTTTAATCAAAATTTTTTTACGGGATTGCCTTTATAAAAATAGACTTAGTATTTGAACAGATCTATAGAAGCGCTCTTTAAGACAAAATCTATCCAATGCACAAAAATCAAGTTGAAATATAAAATTAAAAAAAGGTTACTTTCTATTTAATATACCCACATAAGATGTAATTAAGTCCTTTGTTTACCATTTTTGTTGGCTGTAACCGTGGAGTTCGTAAAATTTCGTAAAAACTTTCGAGCTTTTAGTAAACATGAAAACGTGAAATTGCTAAAATTCTTATGTTATTATTCCTATGCACTCATTTTCTTAGCATCTTTTACCTTCTTTTATACATGGCAACAAATTTATTTCGTTACTTGTTATTCGCCATATATAAACCGCCAGAGAATTCTATGTAATATTTAAAAAAAGAAATCAAAAGTCAAAAGCGTACACCAAAACGTTGTGATTAGCTAACAATGTCATCAATAATGTAAATTAAGCGTTTGCCATGAGATTTTATTCCATTAGTTCATCAGCACCTACTTATTGTTGGTCATGACTCTCATTATTTATAATCATGTGTATTAGATAATTATTTGTGAATGACAGTTGAAAATATTTATACTTGCTGATTCAAACATAAAATGTCAACAGATACGAATTATAAATAGCTGCTAATAGGTTGTGTCATATTGAAGTAACAGAAAAGTACAGTTGTATTGTTATAGTAAAACTTATTAGTATTATCATGATTATGTCCTTTTCAAATGTCTCCAACAATATATGAGTGTTTGACAATGTGACAAAGCCAACAGATAAAAGAGTCTCTGACCTAAATATATGTATATAATTGAGAACGCTACATAACCGATAAATACTAAAGCATTTTTTTAAATAATAACAACAATAAAGGTACAAATTTTATTGCAACAGATGCAAAAGACCAACTTTAGAAAACACGTTCTTACTGATTAACTGTTTTGGTCTCGTCCGGAATATAATGAAATATTTGCTACTGGACGTTAAAAAGCAACTACAAATTAATCAGAGTTTAGATCTCTTCAATTAGGTTCCAAGCAGTAGAAATAAGTAGTTATGAAACTCATTATTTATAATCATAACTATTGGTTTCAAGATAATTACCTGTGCATGACAGTTGCATTAGGTCATTCACACTTGTTATTTCATATTTAAAATCGTCAACAGATACGTATTATATTTCAAAATTAGATTGTAGTGTATATATGCTGTCATTTTTAAGTAACAGAAAAGTACTATAAATTTACAATAGTAAAACTAATTAGAAATATGTCATTTTCAAACGTATCAAACAACACATATTACTTAATTATTAATATTCTATACTAATTATTACTTTTTTAATTATAAACTTAAGTCATATTGTGATTATCGTGTTAAAATTAATTTCCAAACCCTTCAGTCTGAGTGCTCATAGAAAGAAAAAAAGAACAAAAAAAAAACAACACATATTAAGATTTATTTATTATTAACATGGAAGTCACTATAAGATGCAAAGCTTAGTAGTAATTTTATTTTAAGGATTTTTTTTTTACATAATGTTTATAAATGTATTAACTGTTTTTGACATTGATATTTAAATCATTAATTATAATTCGAAAATTTAAATGAGTCCCCCGATTTGAATTTGGTTGTTTGTTCCAATTTAGACAACAGTAGTTTATCGATGTTCAAATTCATCAATCGATTAAAATGAAAAATCAGGAAAACAAACAAAACCTAAGGGAATCGCATGAACTCCAAAAAGGAGCGAGATCGAGCGCGTAGACAGAGTAATCGTCTCCTGCTATGAAATCATCACCCGCCATGCAAATTCACTGTTAATCAAAATATCACAATCGGGACTAGGATACGAAAATTATATATGAGACGACTATTTGGTTATTTGAAGGTCTAAGACTGCGAAAACATTTTGCTAGTAACTTGAGACACTGAAGCATCATATCGGTCAACCAGTTGTGATGGTTGCTGTAAAACTTATGTATAGTCGATTTTAGTTGGTCGTTCTTCCTAATTACTTTGAAAGCCTTACATGTAGCAAACAACCAATTCAATCTTCAACAAAAGACAGATGTCGATACAATATTTCAATGCACTGATCATATTATTTAGTGTTCAAATTTCTGTTTTTTGTTTTACATATAGTCATGTGTAAACTTTTTATTATGATATTGTGGTAAAGTTTTGTTTAAGAGTTGACAGTATACAAAAATAGATACTAATAAATTAATCGATTTGAAGACAAGAACCATTCATTAAATATTTACCATTTCGACGATTTTTAATTAAAAACTTGAATTAAATAATAAAGCATATTTTGATATTGAAATTTTAAATAAGACATTGTAAAACACTTCAAAACAGTGATAAAGAAAAGACAACAACTGACAAGGTTTCTGACTGGGGACGGGCAAAATGTATATGAGGAAGGAGTTGGGTGAAATGGTTTTGTGAGTCCTCAGATTTTTTTTTATGTTTGAAATGAATACTACAAAACACTTTGTATATCTTAATCTTTTATCTTTCATTTTTCTCTCTTTTTTATATTGTATCCCTATTATAAACAATATTCACCAGGATTGTGAGAAATATGCAAAAGAGAGGCGGAAGATACCAAAGGGATATTCAAACCAATCAGTCGAAAACAAACTTACAATACCAAAGCAATAAAAGAACTAAGTTCTAATGACCCCCGCGTTGCACATATTTTATCTGTTCTGTCCAAGGGCAATAAATAAAAAAAAATGGTTTTATTCTTTAAAACTTTTTTTAAAATTATCTTACTTGAGAGTTGAAAAGCAATTTCCGATAAATTTAATATTTCCAAGGGAAATTCATTAAACATTTTTGATCGACACTCATTTTCGAAATTGTCCGATATATTACTGTTATTCACTTTGATATGAATTTGATAAAAAATCTGGAAAAAAATCTACACGTGAGAGCACTTACAATGCAAATTTCCATATAATTTATATTTCTTAAGGGGTATAACTCTTTTAAAAATAATTGATCGTCACTGATTTTCGAACTCGTCTGAGACATTGCTGATATAAACCTACAATATAAGTTTCATAATAATCTGGAAAGAATTGTACACATGAGAGCGCTAACGATTCAATTTTCCATATAATTAAGGTTTTCAAAGGGCCTAACTCTTTTAAAAATAGTTGATCGGCACCGATTTTCGATTGTACATGTGAGAGCGCTAACAAGATCGGACGGACGGACGCCCAGTATTTATATGTCCCCCGTAACGCGTTGCACAGGGGACCAAAAAAGAAAAACGACAAAAAGACTAACAACAGTACACAATGAAATAAAAAACTAAAGAGACGGAGCAACACGAACCCCACCAAACAGAGAGTGATCTTAGGACTGTTCTAAAATACTTTTGGATAAAAGCTCTGAAATGGACATTCCGTTTGAACATCAAAACTTATGAAATCATATTATGACTGTATTCAGTATTATATACAATAACTTTTATCGTTGCATACATATCTATCATTTCTATTATTTCAGATGTTCCGCATTCGAATTTAACACTACAAAAAACGAGCTTAGGCTCAAGTGCATCAATCATGTCAACATCAAGCACTTCAACATTAAAACATTCCAGTATTACCACAGCCAGTACAACAATTACTTCAACAAAAACAACAAGAAAAACAACAATTGCTTCTCCATCAACAACAGCAAACCCTAAAGTTTCCCAGTCGACAACAATAAAACCAACCACATTAACATCTGTAACACATAAAATATTTCCTACGGGAAAAGCATCGAACTATGACACTAGGGATCCATTGGATTGTAAACGAGCTTTACTGATAGTTCCGTGCACTAACGCTATAGTAAAGAAGCACTGTTTTTATTCATGCAATTCGAAGCAAGGAAACAGTTTGTTATCTTCCACTAATACAACGCCATTTAGACAAACAACTATCATGACAAGTCAACAAACAACAAGCATACTAGTTGCAGTAAACAATGTACAAACAACTCATATATCCTCTGTTTCAACGCATATGTCAGCAGTTAATATTTATGTTTCACCGAACAGTCAAAGCTCTTTAAGCAATATGCTTTCATTACAATCAAACACAAGGTCTAATTACCTCTCAGCAATTCAAAGTACACCGACTTCAATGTTGCCCTCTTCAATTTCAATAGGTGTATCATCTTTTCAATATTCAAACATTTTACATACTTCGATGACGACACAAAATACAATTGTATCATCCTTGATTTCACCAATGTCATCTGCAATTGCATTAATGTCAGTAACTCCACCAAATGTAGTTTCCTCTTCTGTTACTCACGTGACCCATAATGTTCTACCAACTGGTCAAGCATCTATTTATAACCCACTTGACCCTCTAGATTGTAAACGATCTTTGTTGATTTTCTCCTGCTCGATGCCGTTAGTTGCAAAACACTGTCATTATTCTTGTTCATCACCTTCTTTTAAATTTCCCAGTTCCAGCATATTTCACAGTTCAGCTTCAGGTGTTGCTCATAGCCAAAATAGTGACAAGACGTCAAGTATAGCTCAGACTTCTTTTTTGAATGGAATTCAATCAATCCATCTAAGCCAAATCCAAATTAACCCCTCAAGAACAATTACAAACCTATTTACAACTATGAATCAAAATTCAAATCGAGGAAATCCTTCTAGCTTAACTTCTGCCAATTTCCATGCCACTAGCATGGTTAATCCAAGTGCCATTGTACATTCGAATTCGGCCATAGTATCACCTTCTATAAGTAGTAATCCGTCTATAAATACGCTTAGTAAAATACCTGTGTTTCATAGCTCAACAACACCATATACAAGCATTGTTCTAAGCTCTAATTCAAATATGGCTCAAATGTCTAGTTATAAACAGATATCAGGAAGTTTTACCATATCAATGGTTCAGAGCTCTATTTTGTCAAAGCCTTTGTCTATAACTGGTATAACTGGTAGTCAAACAAGAGTACTACAGAGCGCTTTTAAAGATTTATCGGTTACATCAGCAATGATGACCGCATCCATGCCCCAAGGTTCCACTATTATTCAGTTTTCTTCAAGTTTATCTAGTTTTCCATCATCTACAATTCTTCAAAATGTTCAAAGTAGTGACAAACCATCAATCACGGTAGTCAACCCGTCTTCTGTCATTCATCAACATTATTTGAATTCCTTTAATATGTATCCACCTTCTTCGATTGCTCAAACAACTCAAATTAGTAACCTGCCACCGAGTGGCGTTCCATCATCACTCCTTTATCAAAGTTCTTCCAATACTGGTTTATATTCAAGTGTGTCCCAAAACCTAGTAACATCGCCAATTCTTGCCTCTAGTGCCGCTGGCTTATCATCAGGCTTAACTGGCATATTTACATCATCTGTCATCAAAGGTTCTAGTAATATAAAAAAAATTTCTAGCAATTTTGTGAGTTCATTTTCTTCTGGTGGGATAACCTTTAGTAGCACAACTGGAAGCTCAAGTTTGCTAGGAAAAGGAAATTCAGTGAAAATATCTACTATGTATGCAAGCTCTGTTCATCACAGAAGTGTTGTATCTGCAACATATTCTGCGCCGCCAGTTCAGAGTTCGAATATCTTGGCCAATCAGTTTGTCACAAACTCCTTCCTTCAGAGTTCTGTTAGTTCTGCTTCTGTTTCCCCATCACAGTCTGGGATTAGACAGTTAGTTCCACCACAGCATACTTCATCAATTCGGCAAAACTCATCACCTTTCAGTTCAGTACGACTATTATCTTCTGTTCCATTAATACAATCGTCAATTCTTCATTCAGGATATCAGTCATCGTTTGGCCATTTAAGTTCTTCACAATCCTTATCAGTCTTGAATCCTAGCATAAAATCTTCACTCTCAAGTCTAAATACAGACACAATTCTAGTATCTTCAAGTCAAAATCAAGGCTTGACCACTGTACCTTCAAGTTTAAATCAAGATTCATCCTTATTTCTAAATCCAAGTAAATCATCAATCTTCGCAAGCCTAAATCCTAGTGCACCACCAGGACTTTCTAGTCAAATATCTGATTTGTCAATTGTATTTTCAAGTCCAAATCATGCTATGTCATCTGCGATCTCAAGTATTCATCCTATTACGCTATCGGTACCTTCTAGTCCAAATCCTAGCATGTCATCAGCACTCTCAAATATAAATCCTAGTATGCCATCTGCTCCCTCAAGTATTTATCAAAGTATGACTGCTTCATCTTCAACACTAAATCAAGGTAGAATATTTATACATTCAAGTCTTCATCCTAGTATGTCATCCGATCTGTCAAACATAAATATTGGTATGACATCTGAATCTACCAGTTTAAATCTAGGAGTTTTGTCGACACCGTCAAGTATAAATCCTAGTATATCATTTGCACAATCAAGTCAAAGTCCTTTAATATCATCTGCATACTCAAATGTTAATACTAGCATATTATCTACACCGTTAAGTGTAAATTCTGGCATGTCATATACAACCTCAATTAAAAACTCCGTTATGCCATTAACAACCTCAAATATAAATTCTAGTACGAAATCTTTTTCATCAAGTAAACAATTGTCGTTTCCTGGTAGTTCAGATATTCTCACTCCTTCACTTATAATGTCTTCCAGTGTTCCAATATTGTCGTCTCACTATGTGCAAACGATGTCGATTTCTAGCTCTGCTTCTTATACCATACAGATGCAATCCTCAAATATATTACCCTTACCTAGTGCCTCATTGATATCTTATATAACATCTGCATCTGTACTGTCTTCCAATGGTCCATTTACAATATCTAGCATACCATCAAATGCATATCAATCAAATGCAATGTCTTCTACAAGCACATATGTAGGGTCTAATAGTGCGTTTAGGGGAGAATCCTCTAACATTGCAACGATTTCTTCAAGTGTACATGTGACAACCTCCAGTCAGACTGTGCCGCCCTCTTTTTCAACTTCAATGGCTTCTATTACATCTATAGATTCCCGTACTTTTATTTCATCTAGTACCCCGCTACCTTCAAGTTTACTTTTATCTTCTGGGATATCTATATCCCCCTTTTGGTCTAGTGTGCAATCGTTACAATCAAGTGTACCTGTATCATCATTGGTACCACTAACCTCCTTTGTTAATGTTTTATCTTCATATGACACTACAGTGCCGTTTTCTGGATACCAAACATCAGCAATGCCATTTCTTATTCCTTCTGTGTCATCAAACAGTGAGCAGATGTCGTTTACCTGTGTCCCTCTATCCTTAGAATCATCTCTTACGATTTCCGCTTCAAGTAATATTCCCCTTTTCTCAATGAGTTCCAGTATAATTATATCTTCTGGAGATCATTCCAGTGATTTTATTTCCTCTTCTGATATTTCTTTATCACAAGTCTATTCACCTGTATCATCTGCAGGTGTTTCAATGACGTGTTATAATGTTCCCGTAATGTCCTCTGCTTTACATTCAGTAATTCCTACACTACCGTCAGTGCAAATGTTACCAAGAACAACAGCTTTTGGTCTTTCTGTTTTTTCAACTAAATCGCCCATACCACACACCATTTCACATAGCATGTCCCAACCTTCTGTTAGCAGCACTCAAACTTTGACGCCAACAAGTAAAACTACAACCCCAGCTTCCAAGCAACTGCAAAACATTACACACGTTGCCAATGTCATTATTCCTACAGGCGTTGCTTCAATATACGACAGTAGGGACCCCGTTGATTGTAAACGATCTTTAAAAATTGCTCCTTGCAGTTTCTCAGTAGTTGCAAAACATTGTTTTTTTTCGTGCAGTAAACAAAGTAGCATTGCGGCACATCCCATAAGTCCCGGGAAACTTTCTCTTCCAACAGGAAGTAGTACCATGACAAAATCAAAAATTATCTTTCAGTCACCAACATCAACATTCTCGAAGGCAATATCATCTGCAACAAGAATGTCAAATTTCTCGACATCAACTAAACCAAACCTGTCGAAATCTACACAAAGTTTAAAATCCATACAAATATCAACTTCAACAACAAAACCTTTAACATCTATGTCAACGAAAAAACCTTCAAAAGTCATGTCAACAACGAAACCTTCAACAAAACCTTCAACATCCATGTCAACGACAAAACTTTCAACATCCATATCAACGAAAAAACCTTCAACATCCATGTCAACACCAAGTTCACTATATACAACAACGACATCGATTCCTAGAAGAACTACAACTACAACAACTACAACACGACGTATAAATCATACCATAAAATCTTTGTATGATTTTCGAGACCCTAAACAATGCCTGCAGTTAATAACATGGATACAATGTACTGATTTCTATTATGGGAGTATGTGTAAATATTCTTGTGGTAAGTTTTTCAGTTAGTTAGAAAATGATATACATAAATTGCAAAAACAATGATTGAAATAAATTGCCACACGTGTTAGATGTCATCAGGATGAAAATAAGTAGGACACTTTACACTTTATAATACCGATTTAACAATAATTTTTCGCTTTTGGAAATTAGAAAACGTTAAAATCATTGGGTAATGCTAGAAAGTAGAGTTAAAGAATACCAAAGGGGTAGTCAAATTCATAAGTCGAAAACGAACTGCTCATTGTTGTGCAGAATTGCACTACCAATCAGGAAATCTGAAAAATGAAAGTTTGATTATAGTATTTGACGCTCTTCAGATAAGGTCAAAATCGCTTATAATCGTACAGTGCCGGGAGAAATATGTGTACATATAACGTCAGTAAAATATTTGCATTGACTGCTGATTTTCTTCTGATGCAGCTTTTATATATAATGATCAGCCTTCACATTCACACAAGTATAAATGGTAGTAAAATTCTGTACAAACCTCTAGTTTGAATAAAAAAAATACCCTGTTCGATGAAAAATGTATTTAGAAATTTCCGTCTCTCGTTGGAGAAATCGAATTGCAATATTTTTTGCTGCCCTAGACAAATTAGGAAGGCTCATAGTCGCAACCTTTTCCATGATTTTGTCCTTTGTTTAACCAAAGAAAAATGATCAAGTTTGTTTTATGGAAGTATCTACTACGCATAATATAAAATAAGAGCTGGATTTTAAGCATCATTGCTTTTACAATTCAGGTGTCATCTTATTTGGAAATTGAAAACCAGTATCAGGCATATTCATTATATATGGTATTCAATAAACCTATCACAGAGGGCACATCTCATTTTCTGCATAACAGCTTTTGTGGTTCGGTAGCTGTACTCCAAAAATAAATAATTTTGGTGTTTTTTAGACGATTGAATTAGATTTGTTTGCCGTGCAATACTTTTTAAATGACTAAGTTATACAATATATTCAAATATAAGGCTAAGTAAACAATATGTATTACTGGTATTAGGGAATGGTTTTCTTCCTGTATTATGTGGTGTACCTTTAGAACTACTCTTTCTTGCCTAATGAAAAAGAAACAATAGCTTTAACTAGCCAATCAAATCATGGAACGGGTAACAATATTTTTTTCTATCCGACCAAATCATGGGACGGGTAACAATAGCTTTTTCTATCCGATCAAATCATGGGACGGGTAACGCTAGCTTTTTCTATCCAATCAAATCATAATAACAAAAGGATGACACAAAGACCTGTTTGACCAGTATGTATAATTCATTTACAATTGCTAATAGTGAATTCCATATTCAACTTGCAAACAAGGACACAGATAGGGGGAACTTCCCTTGTATTTGTATCAATCGCAGTGTCAAAATATAAAAGTTGTCAAATATTACTGAAATTTGAATATTACTATGTCTATATCATATACTTAAGTCTTTTTCAAGAAAATTACATATTTCCATAAAATCAATATGTTATTAAACACTAATACTGCTGTTTAAATGATTTTTAATTTTACATGTTCACAAAATATTTATCTGGAAAAAACAACATATTGTTTCATATGCGAATGAGTATTCCAGGCTCCCTACACATCTCACCGTCTTTCAACATCGGCACGGCAGAGTTTTTACATTAAAATCTAATTCCCAATATCGATAATTTTATAAGATGATATTACATACTATGTAACTGTGTTATCGGAATACAAATTGTGATTGTTATTTTCATCGTTTTGTAAAATAGAGGTTTTTCTGAGACTGTTGATAAGGGAATCCCTTGAAATATTAATAAAATCAAACATTTAATTAATGAAATATAGGGGAAAACATTTGATAATTTTGCTCGTCAAGTATGTATACATACCTGTCTTCAAATTTTTATATTTGAAAACGTTTCTGATGAAGGTTAATCCAAAAAAAGCGCTCCGGATGCACTTAATTGTTATTTTCATTGTGTACAGATATGCTTTAAAGGTCTTTAGATTTTAGACAAATTAAAAACCTTTCCATTTAATTGCTGTGTAAACGAATCTGGAAGGTAGAGAGGTCTTTTATTTAGTTGTTGACATTAATGAGATGTGATACTAAATCTTATTTGAATTGCTAACATCTATTCAGATATAAAGATGAACATTGTTATATTGTATAAACATTTGGCAATATAATTGTGTTTAGTCTATTTATTCACTTAAAATATATTTATTAATACTTTCTTTTATTTTACAGTTAACAAACAGAGAGGATAAACCAAGATGAAGAAAAAAACAACATTTAGACTAGAAGTAATCAGCTTTAGAATTTAACTGTAAATTCATTAAAAAAAATGTGATGGCCAAAATAAAAATAAAAATATTTCTTATGATATTTGTACTGTTTAAAAAATATATTTGGTATGCTATTATACATCAGTCCACATCGGGAAACTGAACCATTCTAATGTAAAATTGTAAGATAGAACGATTTTACTCAAACAGTTTGAAGCAAGTATTTAAACTTTCCGACAAAGTATTTAATCAACTTCTTGAAAAAAGAAATAGTTTTAATTTTAATAACAACACAACTAATATATTTACCGTATTACTATAAAGACAAATGGCAATGATGGAAATAATGTTTTTGTATGATCCTGAAACTTGGTGATGATTGATAACATGACAGTTTTACGTAAATATATATGAACATAACATTTAATCTGTATACATGAATTTATGAAATCATTTATCAAAATCATTCATGTTTTTGGATTGTTTTATTTAGAAAATGATCATATTCGACTTTTTCATAGGAATTTACAAATCAAAACATGGTTGGGTCCAGAACTGTTAACACCAGCTTGGACTAATTGTTAAACTTGCATTTACCGCCTAATCTCACTGCACTATAGTAAAGGCTGGCAAATCTTTTGCATATCCATCTGCTCCCACAAACACTTCGCATTTCACTTAAACGTCTTTTATACATGTGCCACACACTGCCCTATCATAACTATGGTTCCAAAGGGTAACGCTCATTATGATTTGTATTCTATTAATGCGTTATGATTTTCTCTGGCTTTTGTACTTTTGCGTTGAAATTACTGACAAATAAATAAACTAAATCTACAGTTGCAGTAGAATTGACCAAAAATTGAGGCCGATTAAACTCTAACGTGACAAACGAATTGTAGAACTTAAGTATAATTCGGTTAAGTATATTGTTTTGTAGATTTGCTACAAAGAAATAGTTAGTTAAGTTTGTTTGGTTTATTTAGTTTAGTTTAGATTTTTTTTTTTTTTTGCTTTTGAAGTTTGTCTTCATATTTTGTCGACATATTGTTTTTATTTTTTTTTATTTTCTACATGTATTTTGTCATTTTTTTCTATAGAACATGTCTATGTAGTACAATAACAAGCTTTATATGTTTGTAGTCTCGTAGGCGTATATTCCAAATCTCGTTTTAGTCATTAGACAAATGAAAATATTGTTTGTTCAATTTAAGAGTTACACAGTGGCAGCAGATGTTATGCCTGTTGCACTTATTTCTGAATTTTTTCTGGTAAGCGAATGTCAAACCACCAGGAATGATGCAACCATTAGAAATGTGGTTTGTTTCGCAAGTTTGGGCGTTCGCATCCAAAAGGAAAAGGCATATAAACAAGCCGAGGACCTTTACAAAATACATGATCTGTTGAAGAAAAAAAAAATTCAAATCAACAAACAAACATTGACACTCATATTAAAAGATAACCGCATTATGTGGAGAATGATGATGATGTCTGCATTCAGAACACTAAATTTATATAGTAAAAGAACTACTGTGATAATCATGTGTGTAACTAATGTTCATGTACTATTTATGCGATCAAAATATCTAAAATTGTACTTAACAGCATTATTCTAAAAATCACATGTTTTATAATGTCTGTTTTGTTCAAATCAAAACACTTTAAATAAAAAAAAAAAAAAAAAAAAAGGCGAAAAATACCAATCATAAGTCAAGAGAAACTGAAAAACGCCATGGCAAAAAACTAAAGACGATAAAAAGACAATCAAGTTCATAAAACAATATACACAAACATACAGACTAAGCAACACGAACCCAACCAGCAACTGGGGGTGATCTCAGGTTCTCCGGAAGTGTAGGCGGATCCTGCTCCACTAGCGAAACCCGTCGTTTTACTCATGGTAAGTACACATTCGGCGATGAATCTCATTCGTCGATGTTACAATCGAGCAAAAGAGGACGAGCTTGTGGTAACGACAATTGGAACAATTAAAAGCTTTATTATTAAATAGTTGAGTTGCATATTTTTAAAGCCAAAAGAGAAGGGTGTTTTTCATTGACAAACACAATTCAAAGATTTAGTTTAAACAATATTTTATTTCAAAAGTGCACAATATACAATTATACAATATAAATTCTGGGATTCGGAAACAAGAATAACTTATATAAATCCGCCTCCCTTTAAAAAAAATGACAAAATTAGGAACATAGTATAAGAAGCTCGTATAATGTAAATTTCAATTCACATTACATGTTTATTCAGTGGTTTGCCCGTTACTCAGAAGTCAGTTTGATCGAAAAATATTATCAACTCATCTTTTTTTATGATTGTGGTCTCACATGTAGCTGTGAAGTATGTAAATGTTTGAAAATAAGGTAAATTAAATTAAAGTTTTCAACATCTAAATCGACATAAAATAATTGTTTATGAACCAAAGCTCCCTGTTTCTAAAATAAAACTTTGTACAACTTTAAAAATATTTTCGTTTTCCTCATCACTGATGAGTTCACTACCTGATAATAATGTTTGTATTTTATATCTTGGTAGTGTAGAAATGGTTTGTGTCCTGATGAGACTATAATTATGACATTCTAGCAGATAGTGTTTGGTGCTCTCAACCTGTCCACATATACAGAGGCTGGAAAGAACAATATTTTTCTGGAAAAGGTGTTCATTTAAGCCACTGCAGTTCAACCGGAGTCTGGCGTGAAGTATTTGGCCTTTTCTACAACCAGTATTATAATATGAAGGGGCTTTCTTAATATCTCGATTTATATAATTTTTAAGGGTAAATTTAGATTGATTACATCTGACATCTTGTGGAAGGCTGTTCCATTCACGAATAACAGATGGTAGGAAGGAATTTTGATAAAAAGTAGTTCTACAGTTCATATTTTGAACATTAAATGCCCTTCTAGTATTATAGTTATAGACTTGGTAAAGTTGTTGAGGTACGAGACTACAAAGATAATTAGGAGCTTGATCATGAAACATTTCGTGAAATTTAATAATTTTATGTCTGGATCTTCTTTCACTCAGAGATACCCAACCAGTATCATTATAAAGTTTAGATTTAGAGCAAAGTTTGGTGGCACCTGTGACTATACGAGCCGCTTCTATTTGAATACTCTCTAGTCTGTCCTTTAAATAAATTGGTATGTTATCCCACACAGTATCCGCATATTCGAGAATAGGCCTGATAAAACTGATATAAATAACTTGTAGATTATTACGCGATAACTTAAACTTTAAACTCCTCATAAGATTTAAGCGCGGCGTAGCTTTATCAATAATATAGTTAACATGACTTTCCCAACAGCCGTTTTCTTGAAAAATTAACCCTAAATGTTCTTCAACCTCTTGTATCAGTGTGTCATTCATATATATTGGTGGATGATGGGGTTTTGCTCTTTTTCTATATATGGTCATGGTTTCAGCTTTTCTTGGATTAAAATTAACAAGCCATTGTTGAGACCATAAGTGATTTTTTTCTATATCAGAATTCATTAATTCAGCCGTAGCATACTCGTCCTCAACAACTATATATAACGATGTATCGTCAGCAAAAAGTCTGATGTTGCATGATATGTCACATACAATATCATTTATAAATAATAAAAATAATACAGGGCCTAAAATTGAGCCCTGGGGGACACCTGCTTTAATGCTATAAACATCAGAGGTCTGTCCTCCTATGACAACTCTTTGTCTTCTCTCAAATAAATAACTTTTAAACCATTTTAGTAAGTCCCCTCTTATTCCATATTTTTCTAGTTTATGAAGGAGGCCTTCATGCCAGACTCGGTCGAACGCTTTACTGATATCACAAAACACAACTCTGATTTCCTTTCCAGAATCAAGGGCTTTAGCAATATCGTTGGTAATATAAATAAGTTGATTAACAGTACTATCTCCAGGCATAAAACCTGATTGCAAGTGTGTAATTATTTTATAGCGAGAAAGAAAATTAAATAAATATTTAAAAACACATTTTTCCATCGTTTTACCAATAATAGATAACAGAGAGATTGGTCTATAGTTTGATAAAATTTCTTGAGAACCACTCTTGAAAACTGGTATTACATTGGCTATTTTCCATTCATACGGATAAATGCACAATTGAAGTGACTTATTGAACAACAGAGCCAGGGGATAGCTTAATTCGCGAGCCGCATATTTAAGAAATCTTGGACTAATGCTATCTGGACCTGTTGCCTTAGACACATCTAACAAGAGGAGTTGGTCATGAACTTCTTCTTGCGTTATAATTATATTATCTAAAGTATGAATGATGTCGTCTAAATTTAATTCTGGGATATTTGTAGATGAATCATCAACACTTGATTGTTCACAAAAATAACGATTAAAGGCATTTGCTTTATCCTTATTATCGTCTAAGTAGGTATCTTTTAATAGGATAGGGGGGTAGTCTGAGGATTTGGAAGGAAGCCTAGCCAAGTTACGCAATTTTTTCCACCAATTCTTAATGGAATCTACGTGTGAATCTAATGATTTACATTGTTTTTCAAAATAATGGGTTTTTGCTAGTTTAATCAAATTTACACATTCATTCCTAATTTTCTTAAAGTTTTCCCAAGAATCAGGAGTATTGTATTTTTTGGCTTTTTTGTGCGAACGTTTCCGTTTACGAATTTGTCTCCTGATAAATGATGTCATCCAAGGAGGATCTTTCGTGCGAACAACAATTAATTTACTTGGTATATGCTTGTTAGCAGCATCTAGAATTTTTTGTGTAACAATGGAGACTGCATTATTTAAATTCGTATCAAGTAATGTATCCCAGTCAACTTGTCTTAACTCCTCACAGTAGCGATCGTAGTCCCCTTTTTCAAAATCCCAAACCTTACGTTTAAATTTGGTGTATTTCGGTTTGTGTAAATTAAGTATTCCACTTACTGGACAATGGAACCTAGTATTTGCTTCCAAAATATTTTCACTCACTTCGTGGTATGCAAGAATAT